GGGCACTACAAGATGATCGAGAGCCGCAGGGGGCACGTGAGACATGAACCTGGCCATGAGAAAAATCAAGGAGGCAAAGGCAGTCAATGCAAGAGAGCGCGCGTCGACCGCGAGCCGGAGCTGAGGCAGGAGGGGCGGGAAGAACGGGGCGACGAAGAAGACGCTGCGCGGAAGAGGGGCGCATGCATCGAGAAAGCAGGCACGCCGAGCACAGAAGAGGACAGCAGAAGGAGCCGCGTGGGCAACCCGCGCCTTGGGACGGACCAAAGCAGCGCAGGCGCTCCTGGCGGAAGAAGAAGCCCCCCCCCCCCAAAAAAAAAAAAAAAAAAAAAAAAAAAAAAAAAAAAAAACTCGCATGGCAAGGAACAAGGCGGCCCCGGATAAGCGAAAGGAGATGGCAAAGGCGGCGCGGGAGAGCGGCAAGATGAATAGAGGCATCGTTGCTGCCTTTAGCAAAGCATGAGAAAACATGACAGAGGCTCTACGCTGCGCAGAAGAATGCGACATCCTGCTCAACAAGCGCATGGCCATGGACATCAATGGCGAAGATGCGCTGACGGCGGCAAAACAAGAGTTGGAAGAGAAAGAGAAGGAGCTGCACGAGATGGGCGACCACAAGACGGCGAATAACATGGGAGAAAAACAGTCGGCGCATCTCAAGGCGCCGGACCTCGCGGACAAGTGGAGCGACAACCTGCAGATGTTCAACGCGCGCAGGAGTGGCGCGGGATGGGGCGCCAAGAGGGGCGGAGCCTGCTCGCGCGGGCTTGCATTTCCACACAAGACGTGGCGGAATGGCCCCGACCCCGACGCGAAAAGAGGAACAAGCGGCAGTTCTGGTGCCAAGCGGACTGGTCGCAGCTCGCCAAGGTGCAGGGGGGCCACCCCAGAGATGAGCCCATGAAGGAGTGGGTGGACAGGACGAAGGGCACGTTCGGCGACGACTGCGAGGGGCGGCCAGACATCGGGTGCAAGTCGAAGTTCCTCCCGCGCAAGAGTGGGGCGTTAATGTCGGTGGAGCCCAAGGTGGGAAATGGATGGGAAGCCCTCGTGGCATGAAGGCTGCCGCAGCAGCTGGAAGACGCCATCAAGGAGTGCCATTGCCAGTTCTACGACGCCGCCCACAAACTTAGCCCAGAGAAGCTTTTCGATCAGATCCTGCGTCCTTCCCGATGACGCGCAAGGTCACAGGGCGCGATTTCATCGCAAGGCGCCCCGTGGACGCGCGGGGCATGGCAGGGAGGAAGGCCTTTGCTGCGCAGAGATGGTGCGAGCCGGCGCTGAAGATTTCGAACGACGAAGGGAACCTCCACGAAGTCATGAAGGTCACCTTGAAGGAGCTGAGCAACGTGGACAATCTCGACCCAGGGGAGGTGAAGAGGTTCAAAGAGCGCCAGAAGCTACGAGACAGCACGCAGACCCTGCTGGATGGCCCCGAGATCTTCGAGGAAAAGTTCGGCTACCCCACGTCGGAGGAGACGGCCGTGGCCAGCTCCGCCAGCGGCTTCCTTTGGAAAGCCAAGAGGTGCATTAGCGAGGTTTTCTCGGAGGGCTACTCTGGGCAAGCTGGGCGAGCCCGCAGGCAGCCAAGAGATGCATTAGCGAGGTTCTATCGGAGTGCCACTCTAGGCAAACAGGAGGGTAATCATGGAGTATCCGCACTGTCATCGCAACGGGAAGTATGTTCTGGAGTGCTTACAGGTTCATTTTTGCAGGTGTTGAAAGGGAAAAAAGTGATCATCACGAAGTCCACCAGAGTGCTTCCTCGATGTCCCCACCTACAACACACCGTGACTACTATTTTGCTCTACCCCACATACACTTCGAGGGGGAACAGTGGGATAGTACAGCAGGGTACCAGAGTACAGATACGACAACGCATGGGACAACGATCGGCCAGATCGAGGCGAAAGCGAAGCGAGCCGAGCGGGAGAGGCGATTATATAATATAACCAGTAGGGTAACCAGGCCCCCAGCAACAGTTTGGGAACACGGGCCCCCCGACCCTCCCCCCCTCCTCCTTTTGGAGTTGCCGTGGCCCTCCCCCCTCCTCCTTTTGGAGTTGTCGTGCCGTCGTCTCCTCCCCCCCTTGCTTGGGCGCGCTGCTAAGCCCGCGCGCCCCCTCCCCTAGGGCACGCGGAACGGCCAGCAGCTCTCTCACGGGGCCACCTCGGAGCTTAAAGCTTGAGCAACGTGGCGCGCCCCTTGCCGGCCCTAGTGAGAAGGCAGGGCCGTTGCACAACCAATCGCAGGGGATTTTGTCAGAAGCGCGCAAGGCACCAGCGCAGGTGTTTTGACGTTGAACCCCCCTTTATGCGGATGTCCTGCCCTGTCCTGTGTTGTTCTTTTCCTCCTCTCCCTCCTCCTCCCCCTTTCCTCCCCCCCTCTCCTCCTCCTCCTCCTCCTCCTCCTCCTCCTCCTCCTCCTCCTCCTCCTCCTCCTCCTCCTCCTCCTCCTCCTCCTCCTGTGTCCTTCCCTTTTGCCTGGCCCAGCGGGGTGCGTCAATTTGTCGCGGTGCGCAGGCCGAGCATATCTTGACCAGGCGCACTTCAGGTCCGCGGAGGGAGGCAGGAGGG